TTGGTGCAAGTGTTGGCTATAGTATGAGAAGAAATGCAGCCCTCATAGTTGAGAGGTGCTCCACTGTCTGAGCTGGAGTTCAGACAACCCTCAATATTTTGGTCAGTCCTCCTCTTCTCCTCTCTCTCTCTTTTGCCCACCACTGACAGGGGCATGTTGGTTTCCAGTTGTTTTCTGGCTATTTGGAGTCAGCCATGTATGTTGGCAGAGCTCATCCTCACTTTCTCTTTGCAAACTCTGTTGAAGACTGAACTCTGCTCAATGTTTGTGTGCCCTGTGTTGAGTAACTGTGAGCTCCGCAGGGCGATTGGCAGAAGCCTGTCTGATGCTGCAGATACAGTCATGCCATTGTGTGGAGTCAGCAAGTAAATGTGTGTGTTCATGTGTGTATATGTGTATAAGGGGTGAGGAAACGTAGGTATTTGTTTTGGCACAAAGATCATTTACCAAAGAAGCAGCTCCTGCCAAAAGTTGCCAAACAAACCTGTGGCGGTGAGCGTTTCATCTGCCCAGCTACTTCAGTAGTTGTAATGGAAAGGTAGTCGTTTTGCTCCCAGCATCCACCTCTTCATAGCTCTTTAGTGAATTAAGCGGGCTAATGCTGTGGTAGGCCCATTTCAGGGTGGAGGTAAACTGCCGTTTCCTCACATTTCTGTAACATTTGTAGTTTAACAAGCAGTTGAAGTAAACATTTTGCGCTTATCAAGGCTATGACAGAGCCCCATGGTTAAGCTTTCTTTTCTACTTGCCATGTCCACACTCGAAGCCCCACTGTCTGGTCTGAGCCAACATCCTCCAGTCCAGAGGGGCTCTGTGCCAAGCTCAGCTCTGAGGATATTACAAGGAGGGAAAACCCATCTTCTCCAAAACCTTCTTCCATTACAGAAAAGAGGTTTTCCGCTTCTATCGAAACTGTCAATAGAAGTCATTCAGGCCACTTGGAAAACATCAGTTGGCACTTTTTTGGTCTTTATGTTGGCAAACTCATTGGTCATGGGGACAGCGTGATTCTTCCAGAGTGGGTTTTCAGAAGAAAAGGAGATTGTGTGGGTGTGCATGTGTTTTTATGTCCTTAATATGCTTTGCTGTTGTATGCGAGTAATTCTGATGTGCAGCTCTGTGAAATATCAGCATCTGCATTGCTTTTTACACCGTAACCTTTGCAACTGCCGGGGACATGAATACACTGGCTGTGTGTGTGCATTTGTGTTGAATATAGAGCTGAGTGATGGGAGCCACAGTGTGACAGGGAGGCCTGAGGCGACCTTAAGCAAGCCCAGCAATGTGCCTAGTTGGAACTTCCTTCTCATTCCTTGGACATAATAAAAGTGAGTTAGCAAAAAATATCTATCTGAATCGCAGTCCAATCATGTTCCCTCAGTTTCCTCACATCTGGTGACATTTCAAACTCTCTGTGCGCTTAATTGTCACATAGCCTCTGGCTGTATGAAGCAAGGGGAGGGTAAAGCCGTCTCAAGGAAACATCAGCTCAGGAGATACAGAGGCTAAAATAAACAAGCATAGAGTCCTTATCCTGCCGGCAGAGCCTTAGCAACAGCTACAGTTGTTTCATAAATCAGCTTGTTATAATGGCACATGTAGTACATAGTGGAATAAACACCCCCCTGTTCCCAAAGCTGTATGGGAGGATGAGGGGTGGGGGTGAGAGGGTGATGGCGTTTGGAGGATAAATGCAGCTCATTTTTGTAAGTGTGCCCAAACTTGTGTCATCAGTCCCCACCTCGCCATCTTCCCCTCTCCACCTATCCATATTAACCTGCCCTAGTGCTGTGCACAAGACTAATATGCTCAGTACATAAAACGCTGTTGAAGAACCTGATCGACTTCATTTTATCATTTAAAATATCAAAAGCCTGAATAAGCAAGCGTTTATACAATAAGCAGCCCTTCCAGGAGTAATTACCACACATTCAACCAATCCTCACATTATCTGTGAGTTCACAGTTTTGTCTGAAGAAAGCCTGTAGGATTTTTTTTTAAACCAGTTACTGCATTTTCTCACATACAACGATCCAACCGAGAACCAGCACTACAGCACAGCTCAAATAAAAATCAACCCTCAGACTTACCAAATCTAATTGCAGATATGTTGGTACTAAGGGATTTTCAGTCCCATTTGTAACCTTAAACCTAAACTGTTTGATCTATGGAGCCTGTCGGGAGCCAGGGGCGGATTTAGTGATTTGGGGGCCCCAGGCAAACCCAAATATGTGGGTAACCTTTTGCTCCAACTTCATATTTTTTTCTAACTATAATGTTATTGGTATTTGGGATGATGCTGGTTTGTTTTTGCTATTTGAAGTTTCCTTTTAGAAACAAAAATATATTATGATAAAAGTACAGTTTGACTTTTATATTTAAATCAAAGACATAAGCAAAATAAAAAAACTACAACAAAAAACCCAAAAATTCTATGGTCAAAAGTGGCCAGCATAAACTTAAAATGAGTCCACAGGGAGTGGTGATGAATGGATGGTATTTTGTACAAATGTTTATTGGCATTTAAGTAATTCTCTCTTCAAAACAGGTGACAGAAAGGTAAAGTAGGCTTCTGGGCAAAGTTTACATGCTGCTTATTTTTTATCTGTTTCCAGGCTCATGGTCACAGTTTCCGATTATTATAACTGGTAATGCGATGAAGACACGTCTGTAACGGATTAGATTAATGAAAATCATCAATAATGTCTACACATGCCACAGAATGTAATCCAGGTTTTAGAAAAACATTAAGATGAGCTGCAGATTTGTCTGCTGCTTGCAGCTACTTGTACTATAAGTGTCTTTCCTCTGAGTTTATTAAATATAACTGTCACTCAGCAGCAGGATGGCAATCCTCTCCAAAGTTAGAGTTGTGTATTTACGCATGTGGCACAATAGCGGTAACTTAATGATTTATAATTATTAATTAACCCCAACACAGACAGGATTGGTCAGGATTAGCAATAGCAAATTCCATATGGTTTAATTTTACTGTCAGTAAAAGTCGGACCCTTTACTCTGGAAAGTCAAATATTTTTCTGACATGGAAGGTTCAATATTCCGGTGAGTTTCCAGTTTTGTTGTTAAATTTCAAAATCACAGTATTTGCAGTAGCAACATTACAATGCACATGGACATGTTCCCTTATAGGACGTTTGTAGCAATGAAACCATTTTATTGTGTTATGTTAAGATTATAAATTAATGAAATATAGTCATCTACATGGCATTTAAAACAGTTTGAAATTTTCTATATAAAAACAATTTCTAAATGTGTGTCTGCATATTGTCTGCATTATGAAAGTAGTCTATCCACTTCTAATGATGGTGGAAACAGTAGCCTAATTTTTTATTTTTAATTTTTAAACCTTGTCGTTTTTTTGACTGAGGAGAACTGCTAACTGGACTATCACGTTGCTGCTTCTCTTTCTATCGCTCCCAAATGTTTTCTTCAGCTGTACTGGTGTTTTTCCATCTTCTTCTAAGAATTCCCACTGGGATACTTTCCGCTTCATGTTCGAGTCTGTTGTTCAGATTCTTGGCGCATCAATGAGTCAAAGCTTGAACTCAGGTGTGTTTACATTTGGTGCGCAGTCGCAGCGGCATGTCTAGAAATCGAATAGCCCATTTACCTGTAGTGTGTGTGTGTGTATATGGGGGGGGGGTCATGATAAAAAAGGTGCTTTGAGTGCATTCTAGGTTCTTGCAGATTTGGTTATGTGTCTCTGAATATGGAGTTGTTGGCGAAGAAGTAGTAGTTGGGGGCCCCAGGCAACTGCCTACCTTTGCCTACTGCTAAAGTCCACCTCTGTTGGGAGCTGCACTTGGCTTGTTCCTCCATAATTATATCTGATTGAATTTAATGCTAAATGCACTTTATTTTATTCATCAGGGAACATGTCACTTAAGCTGTCAAACTAGGTGAGAGAAGACCCAAAAATTCATACGCCCATCTACTTGATGGGACACGCAACCCAATAAAGGTCTTAAAATGCAGTAATCAGCTTTGCAAGAACTTGTTGGGCCCGAGTAAAGCAAGTGCCGAAGAGAAGCAGCATTTTAATGATTTATTTAAAGTGTGATTAAATGGATCATATTTTGTTTTCAGTCACCTGCTGAGGTATTGCTGAGAGCCTCGCCGGGTCCAAATTATGCCTGTCAGCAATTAGCATCCAGACACATTGTGAGCTAGCTTTAGGCATGTTTTTGGTTAGCAAAATAAGAGTGTTTACATAAAGGGTAGTGCACACACATTTTCACTGTTCAAACTGTTTCTCAAAGCTAGAGCAATGATCCAAGATGGTAGATGTCAGAATAAATACTGTAATAGATGGTTGCACAGGGATCTATAGCTCAATACACCATAATACCAACTCATGGCTGTGACTCCAGCAGTGCCTGGACTTGGTTTCAGAAATGCTGATACAGTATACGTCATTTAGACAGGTTGTGCAATATGTCCACACAAACAAGAAACACAAAACAAAACAAAACAAAAAAACTCAACCAAAACAGTAACTGATTACGATTTTGGAAAAGCAGGCCACTCTTAAGGCAGTTTTCCTCTCCCAGTCTCCTATTGCAGGCCATTAAGTGGCAAACATCAACTCTGTCTGCTGGCAGCAAATCTAGAAACCAACATTTTATTCTGACTGTGTTACATTACAAGGACTTATTTGGGTAGACTCTGGCAAGGCACTGTTAACACTGTTGCAGATACTAATATCTTTAGTGTCACTTTGGGAGTCATTTCAACCTCAACCTGATCCAGTCTTGGTTGTCAAAGCCAGTGGGGGCGGTATGAAAAAAGCCCTGGCTGGCCTCGACCAAATTTGACTCTCTTAAGCTGGTAACCACAACTTTAACAGTTGTGTCCTTTGTGTGATCTGCCTGGCTCTGGCTCAGAGGGATGTGCTGTGATGCAGGCAGCCATCAAGAAAATTAACTGGTCACAGTCTTGTTTTCCTGGAAGTTGGCTGCCTATAGCAAGATGTTTCTCTATTCTCACCTCCTTTCTTTCTTTTTTTTTTTCTTGATGGCAACCGTCATACAGAAAGATTTGGAGTGGGTGTAAATAAGAAGACATGCATGCTTAATGAGCAAGAGTAAAAATGACTTAATTCTTGTTTTCGCAATGCAGCTCTGCTCAGTGAACTGAATGTCAAGGCAGGGAAATCGATTGTCTGATGACAGATAGAGATGAACAGTGAGATTTGTTGTTGCATCAGCCAAGTTACATTTTTAAGTCCACAACATCTGCAACCAGACATCGAGATTTCACCTTCTGAACTTGCTTGTCAAACAGATTAATATCTGACTTGCCAAAAGGATATAATTAAGTCTGTATTAAAGACTGACAGCCACTTCTTGTTAATGATAGGTGCAGTACCAGAAAGTAAAAGTAAGAGAGAGCGAGAAGGAGCCAGAAATGGTCTTTTACTCTCAGATTTACGACCAGGGGGTCACTGGTGGAAGTGGAGCTGGAGCAGAGTGGTGCAGAGCTCTCCTCCTTCACCTCCCCTGCTCCCACCCAGTTTTTTGCCCTGACTGTATACAAGTCATACTGCATTTGTGTGCACACAGGTGAATATTTTCTCTTTTCCAGTGAGCATATGGGAAACACCTTCAAGCAAAAGTAGCAACACAGTGGAATAATGCTGCATTTCATTCTTTCATTCTGAAAGTTGTTTTTCAGAATTTAAAATGTTTTACTCATCATCCTCCCAGTTATTTTTCTGATGATGCTGCTGCTCTAATTATACATGTGGGAGATTTAAGTCAAACAGGGCATCATGTTTAATAAGCTTGTTTTAATTGCAGAATTATGATGAGAGGTCATATTTCAAAGTAGTCGAAAGTATCTCAAAACTGTACAAACTTTAGAAAATGCAGTTTGCTGCACTCCACTCCTGCCCTTTTCAAATCTTATCTGTGTGCATGTATGCGCACTGATGCATGAAAAGCCTAAGCCTTTTATAAACATTTACAGCATAGACCATATATGCAGTGCACTTTGTCTGTGTTGCGCCTCCTTCCTAAAGTACATTTTGCTCTATAGAGTACTTATTGTAACATACCAGAAAAGATTGTTACAAATGGTGACAGCAACTTTGTCACAGCAAAGTGAGTAACAGTGTTCATATTTATGAATCACAAGGACTGTGATATTCCATTACTAAAAATAAACTGTGAAACAAGTTATAACTAAACATATTGGGCTTTACTCATCCTTGAGCATGTGAATGAGAATGTGTTTGTTCCCACTAATATACCTAGGCACTCTGTGAGAAGTCACCACAATCTCAGTTCAAGTAGGAAGGCAGGATGTTTTTGATGAAGCATTGAGCTTAATTTAGGTCCAAGCATTCACAGTATCTGTCACCTAACTCCCAACAATCTCAACACACAGTACAGAAGGTGTTTGTGTGCGTCTATGCTCATGTTTATCCAGGCAGACGAGTTATAAGTTCAAGAAGTACACACAGACACTTTGCCATCCTAAAAAGACTAGAAATGTAGAGCTGCCCATCCTCCTTTTCACATAGAGAATAAGAAGACTTACAGCTTCACAGACTTTTTTTATATGATTTCTATTTTTTAATCATCTTATTATGAATTATTAATACTGGCAATTAAAAAAAATAATCCCATGAACCTTGCCAAACACCAAAAATCTTGATTTCTTCATCTAAAGGAATTGGCTTTGTTCTGGCCATTGCTTGGCCATAAAAGGAACCAAGCAGGCGTAGGCATTGCCAGCAAACCAGCAAAAGCAAAAGACAAATGCCAACAGCCTCTGCCAACGGCTTCAGCTTGCACCCAGTGTTCTCTTCCTGGTACAGAGAGAAATTTTCTGCCTACTTCTTTGAATTACTTTTAATTTTTTTGCCTGTATGAACATTTTTTTAAATTCATAACACTTTAGAATAAGCAGACTCTTTTGTAACACACAGTACTGCATAACGTAATCACATGTACATACATTTTCTGGACCTCTCTCTGAGCCTCGGGTGTCATCCATGTTTGATGAGAACTTGTATTATGCTGAAAAGGACAACGTGATTTTTGAAAAACCCATAAGAGAATCTTGTGACTTCAAGCATACGGTGTGTCATTTTAATGTTTCATTAAATTAACATGCTCAGACTTGTCCAGTGCCTGCACTGACTGTGAGAGAAGTGTGTTGTTGTTGCATCCATAACGAATGGAAAGAAAGGAAGACCATGCTGTGGCAGGGTCAGATCAGGTTGTCAGAGACCATATTTAAAATCTGGGTCAGTCCAGGCCATAACCCCCCTCAGCACATGCACACACTTACCAACACCACACTCTCTATCCTGCACCCCGATTCTCCTTCATCCCATTATCCGATTTTTCATTTCTCTTCCAGTATACAGGTTTATCTCCTCACTCACTTTACTTTATGCTGTGCCTGATGTTTGCTGCCATGCGAGTTTCACAGGCAACATGTTTAGATTAAGATTATATTAGTTTGACTGTAAATAAACAAGATGAAGGTAAAAAATATAGTATAAATTAAAAAACAGCCAGCTCCAAATATTAAAATTATTGATAATACAATGGTGGATTTTAGTGTTTTATTCTTCTTCTCTCAGTTCTGACTGTTATAAGAGAGCTATTGTCACTTTCAGGTGTTTCTATTATATGGTAAAGAAGTAAAACAAACTCATGTAAAGTGGGGTGATGAGCTGTATTAAGAAACAGTGAAACATTTTCGAATTAGGCTTGAAAATCAAAGTCTTGTCTTGAGCCCATCTTTACAGACAGAAGCACTGGGGGGAAAAAAGAAAACCACTGAACTTCAAAGAAGTGTTGTAATGGTTTTCCAATGGCTTTTCTAGCGAGCAAGCCAGCCAATAATATACCCAAGAATCACCTAGGCTTTTTCAAATTATGTAACTGTTCAAAGATGGTAATGTTACAGTGAGTATGGACTTCTGATGTGCTACATGCCCTCAGTGGTTGTTAAAAATTCACAAGTTGTTGGTTCTGAAGTTTTTAACTCCATTCCGTGGCCTTCCACAGCTAACAGAGTGAA